CCCCAAACCCAAACCCAAACCCAAACCCAAACCCGGATGATGAAAAAATTTAAAGAATTAATTCTTTGAATTTTTAAGGTTGGAGAACAAGACAGTGACTTTAATTACATATAACAGTTGAATAAAGTTTTATCTCTTCATTTTCAATGCCCTCAACGATCAGCTGCATAATTTTTTGGAAAATTTTTTTACAGGGAAAGTGAAGATCAAAGCAAAGCAAAATGCTTTGGGCCACAGTTTAAAATGTATCAAGAAATTGGTAGGAGTTGAATTAAATTTTTTATACATCCATCTGGATAATTAACGTCTCCAAATGAATATATACTCTTTTCATTTTTTTAGAAATTTTGTAATTGATGTCCAGAACAAAATTAAAAAAATACTTTTCTTCTTTCTTTCTTTTTTGTTGAAATTGTTCATTATTATAATACAATATATACAGCAAATGATTTATTGTTTTTAATTGATAAAAATATAAATGAATTAAAAAAATTTCTCAAACCAAGAAAGTTTCAAATTACTTACATTATTTTTAATATAATAATCTATAGTTAAGTAGTTTCTATTGAGACTAAAATCTAAAACGATGACATAAAAACGAATTCTAATATTGATATTTCAGTAAAACTTTTTTTATTTACCTACTCATTGCATTCAAGAAGATTAGCTCTCGTTTTAGGTTCTTGTAAACTAATAAAAATTCTACAAATATTTTATTTCAAAAATATAACAAATACTATGATTATTTGAAACAATTACTATCTCATAAAATAATTAAAATATATAAATACGTAAATCTATTAATATTTCCACATAAAACTTGTTTTTATTTTTTAATTAAACACGTATAATAATAATAATGAATTAAATTTTAGTATAAGAGAAATGTTTAGAACACTCAGAAGATATTGTGGCAGTTAATGAAAATGAAAAAGACTTTGAAAAAAGAGGTTTGTGCACTAAATGTTTGGCAAATATTTCTAGAAAAGAAGTAAAACATATTTAAGTTTCGATCAACCAAATTAAATAAACAAAATAATTACTTAAAGTATATAAAACAAATTTATTGTAAAGTAATTTGGAAAACATAAATAACCTAAGTGAAAGTGTTGAATTATTGAAGAATTTTTACATTTAATAAATTGAATTGATAATCGTTTCTATTAAAAAGTGGAATTAATAAATTAAAAATTTAGAAGAAGATTTTATTAATAAGGTATAATCTAAAGAATCTAATGATTACTAATTATTTATTCAATATATTTAGGAAGAATAAAAGAATTAAATTCAAGATTAGATTGACTTTAAAGTTAATATTCAGAATCATAAGAAATAAATTACGTTATTTGATCTTTGTAAAGAAAGAACAAGTTAAAAACGTATTGGATGTTTAAGATGTTCGGATGGTACAATTAAATATACTTCTATTTATTCAGCTCATTAAATGTGGAAATAAATTCAATAAAAAAAAATAGAAAAAATGAATTAAAATGCTGATGTATTCTAAAATAAAGTCAATTGTCTTAAGGATTATTTATAAATAATATAAAAAGGATATATTTCTGCACTTCAGAATACAACAAATAAATTAAATATCATTTATTAAGATTATTCAAATAAAGTTAATTCAACAACTAATAATTTAATTAATACATCTTGGAAATCTTTATCTAAAGAAGAAATTATTAAAATTGCATAAGATTAAGTTAAATTAATTAATAAAATAGTTAAGAAGATCCATTATTAATTGAATATAATAATTAAGATAATTAAATCAATTAAATTATTAAAGATACTATTTTATGTTTATAAGAATGTTAAATAACTTAATTTAATAAAATAAATAGATTAATTAATAATTTATTAATAAACGATAATATTCAAAGTTAAATTAAAGAAAGCACTAATGATGTAGAATGTTAAAGTAATATAGACACTATTGATTAATCATTAAAAAAATCAATTTTATTAGATTTAAAAAAAAAAGAGTTAGATTTATAAATGCATCTTAAGAAATGTAAATAATTAAGTATTCATTCATAATAATATTCTTCAATAATCTAATCTAAATTTAAAGAAAAATAATTAAAACCAATAATTTATAATTTATTATAGAATAATTAAATTAAGTAAACTGAAAGGTGTTATGCAATTGCAATTAATAAAGATAATTCAATTGTAGTAATTGGTTGTAGTAAATAGATCAAAGTATTTGAATTTAAATAAGAATAATTAAAATAATCTCAAATTCTAAATGAACATACGAATGATATTAATACATTGAATTTTATGAAGAAATCAAATTAATTTATATCAGGAAGTGATGATAATTCTATTATAATATGGTAAATGAATGAAAATAATGAATGGATTTGTAAATAGAAATTAAATGAACATACAAATAGTATTTATTGTTTAGTATTAAATAATAATGAAGATATTATCATATCTGGTAGTAGAGATAAATCAATTAAAGTTTGGATGAAATAGAATAAATGGATATGTTTATAAACTATCATAGATCATACTGATTTTGTATATCAGTTAAGTATGAATGATTCTTAAAATAAAGTGATTTCTTGTGGAAAGGATAATTTAATATTAATAATAGAATAGTCATAATTGGATTAAAAATGGAATATAATATAAAAGATAAATGTTTAATAGTTTGGTCGTAGGATATGTTTTATTAATGATAATTAATTCGCATTTTAACCTAATTCTAAAGAATAGATGCATATTTATGAAATGAATAGTAATAATTAATAATATTCAAAAACTAAAGATATTATAGTTAAATCTGGATCAGATTGTGATTGCTTATTTCCTTAATAATATATAAAATAGAAATATTTAGTAGTAAATAAGAATGGATATAATGTTAATTTGATAAGGAAATACCAAAATGGAGAAATTATTAATGAATAATCTATTGATTTTGGGACACATATCCTATATGGATTAATGAGTGATAATGGAGATTATTTGATTACTTGTGATGATAAATAAAAAGAAATTTAAATTAGAAAATATTAAGAAAAATGATTAATTATTATATATTATTATAAGTGAATATGAATATTTATTATTATAACAATGATAAAAGAGTAAGTTTTTTTAGGGAATTTGAAGGAAAATTTAGGAAATGAGAGTTAAATACAAAATACAATTTAAATGGAAAAAATATGAAAAATGGAGTTAAAATAACACCCTGAGAAAAATATTATGTT